AATAATATGTTAAAAAATTCATGTTAAACCCAGCTACCCAATCTGCACGTATCTGAGGTTTCAGACTCAAGCACGTGTTTAGAGAATCCAAGCCACTCTCTCAGTAGCAGCCTTGAAGTCTTTGAACTATAGCCACATGAATTAGGGAGAGCAAAACAAACAGAAATTAAATAAATATGGCCCACACAGCCATGTGCAAAATGCAATGTTTTAAGGAACTCTGTGACAGAAGCAAGAATCCAGGTTTTCACAGATGACCTGAACAATAGCCACAGAAGTGATAATTTCTGGTTTTGCTCACAGCCCACACCACCGCATAGGCAATTTAAGGATTCTATTAAGAAAGAATCTGTGCGTTTTCTAAATGCAGACAAAACCTTTAAAAACAATTTAATTAAATTTTAAAAGGGTATTTCCTGCATGGGACCATGTTCAACCCCCATGTACCTCTAGATCATTGCAACCTTTGGATCATAAGCCTCCCAGCTTGCGCTTCTAGTATTACATAATCTATGTAAAAACTTAAGTGGAAAAGGAACCACTACACTTTACCAGAGAGCTTCCCAAATACCAATAGTACAATGAAATTGAAGTCCCAGGCTCTATTTCAAGCTCTCAAGGACTGTACGTTGTTAACAGATCCTTTTGCTCCAACACTTTCAGTCCATCATCTTAATCAAGTCTACTCGAAGGTCCAAGTCCTGAAACAATTAACTTAGTAACAAAGACCACCACTCTGCTCACCCCAATAATCTTCCTTTTCAAAGAAAAACCATTACAAGGACACTTTGTGTCAGACAAGCACCAGGTACACTTTCAAACTAAAGTAATTACTTCCTAACTCAATAAGCAACTCCTCTGCCATAAACACAGCTGCAATTCAGAATACTGATGTCTACTGACAGCCATCTAACAGAGTTGAGAAGTTCCATCCTATGTTAATTTCTTCATGAGAATCAAACAACTCTCTACCAACTGCAGAACAGAATTCCTAGGGCTCAACTAACACATTTCATCTGCACTTTACTTCAGCTCTAAATGTGAAATCCTCTAGAAAACTCACAATTCATCTTGAAACAAGAAATTAAATTACAGTACTTCATATTTTCCACTACAAGAGTTGCTATTAGTTTTGCAGTTACCATCTGTTGGAGAATTGACCTCTGTCCTAACTTTTGATTTTTCAAGATCTTCTTTGTATTCTTTCTTCAACTGTTTTACAATCTTTTTGCTGTAACTTGATTTCTTCACTTTGAAAACTTCTTCTGTTTCTTTAAAAGAGAAATCAGATAACATTACATTAGATCTGTCAAGCATACTTACTTATTAAATCTCTTGATTTTGTACTTGGAACTTCATAAATGCCATCAACAAATCCTGTAGGGTTCTCTCAGTCTATAGTTAAAGTCTAATTCTATGTTTTCAGTACTTCCATCAAGATTTCAAATCACGAGCCTTAGAAACCAAGTTTCAGTGATTTCAAGAAAATTCCTTCTAAGATGACTCAAAACTATACGAACTGTTTGGGCAACAGGCAGTGAGTCCGAGGTGACCCGTGAACACCAGCCACATTATTAAACACACAGATTAAAACAAACTCGACCCAAAGCCACGGGACACATGCTCCTCAGCCAACGCTGCTGGCTCCAGGGGGAGACCACAGGCTGCACCTCCTCCTGCACAAACCTGCGGGCCACCCAGGTGTGGTGAACGCAGCACAGGTGACGCATCAGCAACACAGAAGCAGAGGCCATTTGACCACAACTCCACCACAGCTAAGGCCGCTGGGAGCATGCTGGCCCTGCAGGAACCAGGTCGGGCCGGGGAAGGCGCGGGCCCGACGGATGCATCCCTGGCCGCCCGTACCGTGCCCTCAGGGCTCAACCCCCTCTTATGTGATCCCACATCACCCCACGCCACACGGGGGACTGCCTTAAAAAATAAATATGGGTCCCGGCTCTCCAAGAGGAGAGGCCCAGTGCAGGCTGAGCAGCTCCGGGTCCCTTCCACTCCCGCAAGACGCGACCCAAAAGCCAGGCAACCACCCGCCTCACCCTCCTCCTCGTCCTGGAAGCTGAGCAGGCTGGCCCTCGGCACCTCTTTGTTCTCCCGCGACCGCTTCTTCTCCTTGGGGCGGCCGGCCGCCGGCAGCCCATTGCCCTGCTGGGGCTGGGGCTGCGGCGGCGGGGGCCGCGGGACAGCGGGCGCTGGCAGAGCCCCCAGGCCTGCTCGGTCGCCTCCCATCAAGCCCAGCCCCAAGCCGAGAGCCGCGCCGTAGCTCGCGGCGCAGGCGAAAGCCGCGGGGCTGCCGGGCAGGGCGAGGGGCACGCAGCCGGCGGGCAGCGGCAGGAGCCCGGCGCCCGACGCCAGTGGCATGGAGGCCTCGCTGGGCCCTTCCCCCGCCGCCCCGACCGCCGGCGCCGGCTCCTGAGGCGGCTCCTCCTCGCGCTCCTCATCCTCCTCTTCCGAGTCGTTCCGCTTCCGCACATTCACCCTCCGCGCCTTGCGGAACATCCCGCCGCGCACCGACCGGCCGCCCCGCCAGGCCCCGGTGCCGCCCGCTCCGGCCGCCCCGCGCCGCGGCCCAGGCCCGGCCCCGCGAGCATGGCACCGCCGCCCGCAGCGCCCCCTGCCGCCCGCTCGGCCGGCGGCGGGCGGAGGACGCCGCACTGCGCCTGCGCGGCGGGGAGCGCGCGGAGCGGGAGCTCGAGCGGCCCGCCCCGCCCCCGCTGCCCCCTCACGGCCGCCGCCATCTTGTGTCTGCGGGAGAGGAGCGCGAGCCGGGCGGGAAAGGGGGGAGGAAGGGGTGGGGCGGGTGATGCAAGTATAAAGTGAGTTATATTAAATAAAAGATTCGTCGTGTGAGGCGAGTTTGTTGTACAAAATTTGTTTTATTACACCAGGCGTACGCGCGTTTTGGAGACATTGCTGTGGAAAAATTCTGCGAGCTTCTAATGCAGTACTTCCATGAGGCAAAGCTATGTAAAATAGAATTGGGAGAATCAGGTTCTTGGTAAGCGCTGGACAGAATAAGGCCATTGGGAAGATAACAATATCGGAGCTGTGGATTTCTGTAGTTGAGGATTTTTTGCTCTTTCCAGGAAAAAAATCCAGCAGTGCTTACTTGAGCACTGGAATAAAAGGACTTTTGCATCAGCCTTATTCAGAGCACTACAGTAGCAAAAGAAACTGGAAATTTAATTTGCTCTGCTAGAAAGCCTATGGATTTATTAACCTCGTTTCTTCCCCAAAAGGCCAGAATACATACATCCTCAGCTACTGCTGCATGTGTGTATTTTTGGACACCACTGTCATGGTAATGAGGAATCACTGTGATTTTAGCACATTTTTTACCAGAGGGCAGCAGATATTTGCTGAAGATCATCTAGGTTTCATTTTTCCAGATTTTGGAGAGAGCCTTGGTAACATTGAGAAATCAATATATTTGTGTGGCTGGTTTATTTTTGTTGTTTGTTTTTGGTTTTTTGGGGGTTGGCTTGTTTGTTTTTTTAACACAACTATCCTGTGTAGGATTGGTGAGTTGCTAGTTTGTGAAGGCAAGGTTACTTCTCTTGCACAGGCAGCTGGAGAAGGGGGCTCCTGGGCAGATAACATGAATTATGTGCCTGTGTCTGTAATAGACAGTCATGAGAGGTATTACTAGAAATATTTGTAATTTGGAGAAAAAGGCTTATGGTTTGTTGCCAAGGTGCTGACAAAGGAAACTGCATACATTGTTGATTTCAGTGAGAAAGCTCACAGTAATGGGGGTAGTGGGTGGGCATGTATTTAGGTCTTCTGAAAAATTAAGTTTTGCTTCCTAGCAAAACTGCTCCATCGTTGATTACAGTTATATCAATATGACTATTTAAAATAGAAACAGTCTTACTTTAAAATTGCAGCAGCTTCACTGGTTCCTCAGAATCTTGATAGCCATTCCCCTGAGTGCATAGAGAATAATAGAATCACAGATTGGTTTGGGTTGGAAGGGCCCTTAAAGACCACTCAGCTCAATGTCCCCTGCCATGGGCAGGGACACCTTCCACTAGATCATGTTACTCCAAACTCCATCCAGCCTGGCCTTGGACACTTCCACAGATGGCACAGCCACAGCTTCTCTGGGCAGAAGTTTTCTTATATTTTATCTTAGTTTCATGTAATCCATTGCTGTCAATGCAAGGCTCTTAAAATTTGCTGTTTCAAAGCCTTTACTGTACTGTGTGGATGGATCCAGCCTTAGTCATATCTCACAGAATTCAAAACCTGCAGACAGGGGCAAGGAGCAGACTTTGGGCTATTATAATAGTCCCCACGTATGTTTTTCAGGGGATGACAATCTTCTTCATGCAACACATCTGAAAATTATCGACCCGAACCTCACCTCCCTCGTCAGTCATTGTATGGGGAATTTCTACTCTCTCATATGGGAGAACATCAACAGTTTGCCATTATCACAAAAGTTGAAGCTCCCTGCATTTGGGGAAACTGCAGGTCTCAGCGCATCCATCGTGCAGGTGGCATCCTTTCCCTGGAAAAATATGGATCAGCTGAAGTGATCCAGTGGCGAACCGTCAAGCCAGGGGCTGAGTGCTAGTAAAACTCAGGTCCTTAGGTCAATCTCTATATGGGCCATTCACTTAAGGGTTAGACTTGATGATCCTTGTGGGTCCCTTCCAACCCAGAGTATTCTGTGATCTGGAAATAAAGATTATGTGTGAGATAAGGAAGAAAGGACAGATGCAGGGAAATGCCTGCTTCACAGAGGGAAGTACAATACCTCTGTTTCCCAAATCTCTGAGTGTAATGGGAGTAGTTTGCAGCTTGCAGAGCAACTGAATTGCCATCTAACCTGAGTCATTCTCTGGGGGGCTTGGATCCTTCTGCATTGAGAGCTACATGGTTATGCCTTTTTCTGTCTGAGGCAAAACCTTGAAAGAAAATCTATCTGCAGATTTCAATTCTCGGCTTAGAATATATAAACAAAGAAATTCTAACAATGCTTTGGAAAACAGTTGTTTCACATTTACTTTGTTCTTTAAGAAAGAGTTTGCTGAATTAATCTGATGAGTCTCTTACTTCAAACGCCTCCTTGTAGAGTTTTCTCACAGTCCTCTAACACATCCTCCTGGACACACCAGACAGACTTAAAGGCATTCCATCACTTTTAGCAGCCTCCCATGCCTCTCACTACTGACTGTGTTAAATAACTCAGTAAATGAATGTTACAACATAGCTCTCGTTGTCTGAGGTGAAGAAAACATCAGAGTACAGCAGGCTGGGAAAGTGCTTCATGATACTAGAGACGTTTTCCACACTGTATGACTTCAGCAATGAATATCCATTGAAAAGTGAGGTATCCAGAAAAGAAATATGTGCAAGCATTTGCCCGTCTTTTTTGTCCACCTCAAGCAAGTCCTCTTTATCATTGTTGCTGCTGCTGGAGATGGTTACGCTCTGCTCTGGAAATTGTCCCTTGACCTTGTTTACCTGGAGCTTTTGAAGTCCGCAAATGGCCAAATATTCTGTTGGGAGAGGAGTGGTGCCACAGAAAGACAGCTTCAAATCCCACACCCTTGTGAAGTTGAGGACCATCTCCAGCACAGAGGTGTCTGTGAACCAGATGGTCAGGTGGCTGTTGTAGGTAGTTTTTTCCATTGTAGAAGGCAGCACTGTTTTGCAGCTGCACATCAAGTTTGCCAGGCAGTAATCACAGTCACGGATAGTCACAGAACAGCTGCAGTTGCGAATTGTGTTTTCCTTAGTGAAAATTAGCGTGTGGTTCTTCTGACTTCTCACAAAACTGATGTGTATGCCAAGGAATCTGGCCAAAATGAGAGCCAGACAAATGGAGAAAGCAGGGTAGGCTATTGGCTTCATTAGCACTGGTGCCAAGCTGCCAAGTGTCTCCTCCTTTTACTGTGATTTAGATCACTTGGCTTTACCTACTGAGGAAAAACAATTTATTATACTGAAGATTTCTCAATGGTTAACATTACTTTGCATTTCCACTATCTGTCACATCTATTTAGAGCTATATTGCAATTCTGCATTAAGGGGAAAGCACCACTACACTGATTTAGAAAATGGATTGTGACTAAAGTTTGGGATTCTTTTTTCATTCTTCTTTTGCTCTAAAAGGTTTCATCTGTTTATAAGACAGCTCGGACCCATTCTACTCTATGCAGACAGCTCCTTGGCCTGGCCTGTGCAGAGGTAAGGACAGGACGAGGAGTTGTGCAGGACAATTCCTGCTTGTTTCTTCTTTCTGCTTTTTTTGCTTCCAACCAGACAGGAGTGACAAAAGACCCTGTTCTCTACTTCATGAGTGAGGCAGTCTGAGAAGGGCAGAAGTACTGCTGGGCCAAGCACAAATCTTTCTGAGCTATGTGAAGTGCTGATAAAACCTGATTTTGATCCATGTGAAGCTACATCTGCTCCAGATGTAATAATTAGTCTGTAAGTTTTGAGGACCAGGGATCACCTCTCATTACGTCTTGCACGGCAACTACTATAGGATAGATCCAGGCTTTGTCAGTTGCTCTGCCCTCACTTCATTTACCCTGGCAAAGCAAAATAGCAACTCCACACATACCTATGGCAATGGAGTAAGTTTCCATCCCAGCCATGGGTAACCTCAAATGGTTAGGAGCATGTTTGTTGGGACTCTTGGATCCTCAGCTGCCAGCCCTTTGGTTTTCAGAGTGGAGTTGAATTTTACCAGGAGCATCTGTGTTTTCCTGACATATGATGGTATAGGCAATCAAGCACAGTGCAGTTTCTTAACACAAATTATAAAGATGTAGGAAAGTTTGTCTAAGTTGATGTAACTGTTTTGAAGCACCAAGAAGCATTAGAGACAAATTTTGACCAAAGACAGGTTCTAGTGAAAGCAGCAGTAGGGCACATGCTGGACAAAATTTGGTCCTTATGTAAAAAGATTGATTCACATCCAGAATGTTTGTCTGCAGCACTTCAGAAAACATGGCAATACACCTACAGTTTTGTAGATTTCTGTCATTAATATTCCTGTTCCTGTTTGTATTCTTATTTCATTGCTTTTTCCAGTAAACTGTTCTTATCTCAACCCATGAGCTTTGCCTTTTGTGGCAGGCTGGGGGAAGGGGAGTGTGGGAGGCTTTTTTAGTAGGAGTACTGAAATGGAGAATACCATTCCCAAACCATGACAGAAGGATGCAGACATTTAAGTTTTTTAATCAAATATTTAATCTATGTTGTGGAATGTACCAGAAATTCCAGTCCAGCTGCTGGCTTATGTTTAACTCCAAAGGTCAGACTCACTCAAGCTGTAGATGTTGTGGTATCATTATTGCTTGAAATGGTTCCACTATCTAAGCATTTAATCACATTGGAAATCCTATTACTAGACCCCCACACTGCTTCTTTTCTCAGTCCTTAACAGTGGCTAACAGTTGTGACAGACCAGAAATCTGTAATACCAACACAGTTTCACAACTAAATGAAATTATTTCGATTTTTCTGTGTTGGAGGCAGTATTTGCAAGAAATCCTACACAATATTGACATGTGTTTGGCCTACGTAAAAGAGATTCAAACTCCCACCTGTGTCAAAAGGATTGATACTGCTTTTCCCACTTAGCATTTGAGGGCTTAATATTCATAAAACATTAGACTAAAATACTTTGATGCATCCTCATTAGTTTTACCTCTTGCTTCCTTTATTTTTCTCAGTACCTGAAGAGTGGAGAACCTTTAAAGTTCTGTACTGGTTTGCAGCCAACCAATCAGGTTTAGCTTAGCTGATAACATTTGGGCTCCATCCATCAGAATCCAAACAAAATTATAAATTCTAGCATTCTAGGAAATTTAAACTCCAGAAATACTTCTATTCTTCTCTGTTCCCTGCAAATCAGAACTATTCCTTTGCAGTTCTTGAGATGTAGTTTCTGTGTGGCTTTGGTGAGGGATATGCAAGAAGTGAAATATATTCTGCAGGTTATGTGTCTGTGAAGTGTGAGAGTTACCTACAATGCATCTTTTCTTAAGCTGACAACAATCTACAGAGCATTATATGGCTCTTAATAAAACCACATTGCTGTCACCACTGCTTAAGGCTTGGAAAATTATTTGGTTTAATTTTTAGGGATGGGAGAACTGCCTCCAGTAGGGCTCTTGGAGATACACAGAGCTCTTTTTTGTAATATTGCCATTACGATTATATAAAATATGGGATGATTTTCTTGCCTGTTGTAGTTCTGTTCTCCATCAGCTCCAAAATTAAAAAGATGGAGTATTTCAGAAAACTGTCAAATATGGTGTGTGTGGTACATCTTTCCACCATGGTCGCTCTCTGAGCATTACCCACTTCCCTTAACAGAGATAATGTATCCCTTGAACTCAGCAAAATAGTTTTAGACATAACCTATAGAAGCACAGAGAATGCAGCAGATTTTGCTAAATGTCAAGATTTTCTGTTCAATTTTCTAGGGAAAACTGGTGGGTATACCTTCTTCTCTTCCCTAACTTTTTAGTACAATTTAGCTAGACTTCCAGTATAATTAGTACAACTATTTAAAGTCTCAGCCACCTGGCACAATGGATTTTACAATTTTGCATAGCAGGTATAGAAGTTCTGTAAAAATTATAGAAGCCTTTTTCAGCTTTCTAGTTTATATTAGAGGACTTTTGAACTCAGGAAACAAGAATAGGCTTTCAAATCTGAACTTGGCAAATTATCTGGATGCTCTTCCTTCACTGATGGGTAACCAAAACCTACCTGTTTTTATGTATCTGTTCTTATGAAAAGAATAACTCCTTTGTATACAGAAGCTCAAGCTAAGAAGGGCTGGTTTGCATTTTATTTTCATATAATTGTCCAAGACAGCTGGTTTAGACCATCATTCTTGTCCAGCCTTATACCCAGTGTTCATCAAAGCTAGAAAGTGGCTGGAGTAATAAAACTGGTAACACATTTGCATACCAAAAGTGATTGAACTTTTAAATTATGAGTGAGATGATTAATAAATACATTTTTATTAAAACACAGAATGACTCCATAGCCTAAATGTGGCATGCACTGAAAGGGTCTTGGACTACTGCTGAAGGTTTGGTTTAAACTTTCGATTAAAAGAATCTAGAGCTCTACCAGGCTGCAAGATGACCTCCAGCAGAAATAATATCACTTTGGTAAATACGTCCAGCAAAAAATCTTTTTTTTTTGATGGTGGTTTATTCTAACAACTTGGTTTCTCCAAGGTGGTATTATTTCTAATGACATTCCAGACAACCATGGTTCAAATAATGCATGCCCTCCACTCAGCAGCACTGGTATTTGTTCTAAGTTGGTTTCATATAGTCAGCTAAAAATTACACCATGTTTTGAAATTATGCCCTGTGATTTCAATGTTTCCTTTTATGAGTTACTGGTCAGTTTTTGTTCTAGTGGTAACCTTCAAAAAACTCCCCCACCCCTGCATGGGTAAATTCGAGATAAAGCCTACATTCCTGTCCTTTTAATCTTTACATGCTCCAGTTTGGGACCTACAATTAGAAGTAGAAAAAGCAGGACAGTAAAACTAGGAGATAAACTGCTGAGCACTTTCACCACCACCACCCCACCTGGCTTCCCAGAATCGGTGTGGCAAGCACTTAGTGTGTGAGAATGAAGCAAGAAATCTGTGTATAAGAACACATTAGTGCCTTGAATAGTAATTAGACTGTGTTACCCAAGAGGTCTTTTCTTATGCCAGGATAAGCTGTCACCCAAATTAACTGAGCAGTGGTAGCATATTGCTACCTCATGGAAATTACTGATAGTTTATCCAACTCTTCAAAGAGCTGAGAATGTTTTCCCAGCAGTTACCTGCCAATTACAGCATTAAAACACCTCTGAAAACTTTTGAAGTGTGGATTTTGGTTTCTGTGAACTAAAGATACCTCAGTTCTGGTGTCAGAGGGTAAAGATTTAGCAATTACAAGAAGAGTTCTGATAGAAACTGCCACTGCAACTTTCTGGGAAATGGGTAAGTGGAAGTGAGATATGGTCGAGATCAAAAGATACTTAATTGTCCTGAAGATGTTAATTATCAAGAAGACCTTGGTGATTGGCATAATTTCTTGATTTTCATGTGGCTGAAGTCTGAAGCTACCATTGTTTTACTCGTAGACATCCCTGAGAGTTGAAGGCCAGGTTGGACAGGGCTTAGAAATACCAATTTTTAGGGAAAAAGTATTTTAGGGAGAAAGTATTTTAGGGAAATACTTCTGGAAGCAAAAAAACTGCTTCTGAAAAAACCTATTTTGAATGATCTAAATGTAGTAAATAATTTGTTCATTTTTTGTCCTGAGTGAGGGGGCAAATCAGGTGAAATTCAGACTAGATATAAATAGCAGCAGAAAATTATTAGTTTGTTTGTTTCAGCCTTGCATGGTTTTAGATGTGTATTCTTCTTCCAGCATGGAAACACATGGTTTATTATATGTTTTCCCAAAAGTTTTCTANTCCATCCCTGTTCCTTTTGCTTCACAGGTTTTGACTGTTAAAGGAGATTTTCAGTGCTTATTTAATATTAGCATCATTTTAGGTTTTTTAAATCTGCTTTGATAATTCCACTTTTTTTCCCTCTAATTGCAGGTCTGTGTATTAAAAAACTGCAAAAAAGCAATAAAAAGCTTTGAGTATTGTGTGAGAATGCTACTGTCACGTGGAAAGTTTATTCTATTCAATGGAAGTTCCAAGCCTATAAAATTGATTTCTTCCATTCTTTCTTCAGAAAAAAAAACTAATTAAAACCCATCTTTGGTCATTTGTGCTAACATACACCTATCTGAAAGTGGTGTATTAAGCAAAGAGGAGTTTAAATCTATACTTGTGCAGCTTGAGTAATGTACACAGGATGAATAGCAAACCCACCCAACTTAGATCAAAATAGCATTTTGAACTGAGCAGGTGTTAAAAAACAAGATTACAGGAAAATGCAATGAGTCAGTCCCTGAATAAGCCTAACCTGAGTCTGACTGCAGACTAGCTACATAATCTGAACAGAAAGCCCTAGGGAGACTGCGGCCTTCAGAAAAACAAAATGCTGGATTTGCTGTTTTTACTCCATGGGAATTTTAGGAATTCCCTAAGTGGGCTGATGGCTGAGAGGAATTTTGTTTTCCATCTCTTTGCTTAAACAAATACTGTACTTATTTAGTTAGTCCATAGATAAATTGAGGCAAATAAGTTTGTGATCAGAGCTGAAGTTCTACAGCCTTTCAGGCTGCAGCATGATTCATTCTTGTTGTCAATAGCTTGAAAATTATATTTGCATCTGCTTGTGCAGCTGAAGACTGGGCTACTGGCATTAGGTTGTAGCAGTGGAGCTCTCAAGTGTAGCAGAACAAATTCCTTCCTAGCAAGATAAAAATGCAAGATAAAATAGGCAGTACTGTAGCACTGAACTTGAACAACACACTGACCCTTGAAATGTTCACTGGATGGATATTTTGATTTTCAGGTGTATACAGACTCCAGGAGAGGCAATTCATCTATAAACACTTCTGTAAAATCCTCAAGCCTGTCCATCCTATGCAGAGCTTCTGTCCACAGCAGAGGCAAATGTTAGAGCGGGGAAGGCTGTGACATGCAACAGGGAGGCAGAATTATGGGTAAAACTCAAGGGAAAGGAGGACATCTCCCAAAGAACGGGGAGTGGTGATACCTCCCTTTTTCCCCCAGATGAAGGGCACCCTCAGCAGGTCACAGCCTGATTATTCCCAACCCTAAGAGAACAGAAAGGAGGCATGTGCAAGAACTTCATTTTCATGCTGTGTTTTGTACATGCAGCCTGCACTTTTCCTAATAAAGAGTAGGGGACCAGGATGAGTGGCAGGATTTGCTTTGCCAGAACACACTTGGAGCTATTCCAGCTTGGAGGTGTGCACAGTACATGCTGTCTGGGAAGGCAGACACACACAGACCTGGGTATTTGAATTGCATCAGGATAAGCATTTACATAAATAAAAAGTGAGAAAGAAGTGTTATAAAGATTTACCAGCCTGGGAGGAGAGAACTGTTTTGCACAGATGTAAGGTAGAATGATTGGTGGAGTTGTGCTCTCTGGGATTTAAAGTCCAAGTATTCAAAAAAACCCACAAGTGTATAGCCATGCATAAAGCATGAATGTGCAGGCTCACGAATACACAATTGTATTGTCATACTAGAAGTACTTCTGTAATTGTAAGGTATGCATAGTCAAAGCCCCCTTTATTCATGTGTCTGCAGAAAGAGATACCTTCTGGGAAGCCAGGTGTCCCAAGGATGGGTGGTCAGCACTGTCCAAAAACCTACCTTTGGTGGCTCAAGCTGAGCACTTCAACACGTTTATTTTTAAAAGACTTTTTTAAATTTTCATTTTTTTTAATGTCAAACCAACTACTCCCTGGAACAAGAGCACTTAAACTGAGTGAATTTTAGGAAAGAAAGCTTGAGTGCAATTTTGGTTATTTCCCAGTACCCATTCTAACATTGTAGCACTTAATTTTCTATTGTTTGGGTCCTAAATTAGGGGGGAAAAAAGTCAGAGCAGAAAGCTACATGATCAAAATCTGGTATGAGATATTAGTGGTGGCTAAGCAGCTGGAGACTGAAACTCTGGAGCAGGGCACCTTGGGGCCAGATAGCTCTGTTCACTCAGACAGTGGATGTTGTCATTGCCATTGAGACTCCAGAGCTACATAGAAATAGTATATTTACTTTAGTTTGTCCTTTCTATATCACTGACTTTATTTATAAATTAAATGGCAGAATAAAACAGAGGTCCTAAATGCACTTTGCTTGAGCCTTCTCTTCCAATGCTCTTCTCAAGGCAATTTTAACTGAATAAAATGTCTCAAACCCCGTGAGCTGGAATAATTCCCATGAAAATTCCTGTCCCTTTTAAGATTTGCCTAAAGGAGTCTTTGCAAAACGGAGCAAAATCTCTCCACCATTCTTTATGGTTATTATTCATAAAAATATTAATTATTATCTTAAGCATACAGATACAGCGTATAAACAATTGCAACACATGAAAGGCAAATTTTGCAGAATCTGTTACTTCACCTCGATTACAAAGCAACAAAATTGAAACACAAATACCTGCTAAGAAGAGTTACTAGAAAGGGAAACAGCCTCATTCATAAAAATAAAAGCTATTAAATATTTCTCTCTTATTTCTCCCCTCCTTTAGAGCCAAAACAGCGACTTACTCTTTCTCTGGATGCCAGCAGATGGGTTTGTCCGTGCCCAGTTTCCTGCTTGGCTGAACTTCTCATCTGTGGCTGGGAGTGGGGTCAGTCTGCAGGGCAGGCAGCAGTGCCTTCTCTCTCACTCAATGCTGCTCTTTTATGTTTTCATGGGCCAGCACCCCTTGGCATTCCCCCACCAGCCAGGAGGGTGGTCCAAGGTCTGCCTCGACCATTAACGCCACCTGTACCACACTGTCAGGCACAAAGGGCTCACCTGGAAATGCTCAGAGGTGCCAGCAAGCTCCCTGCTCACTCTGGGAGGGAAGCTGGAGTGCTTGGCTGGTGACCTGTCTTCACAGGGGGTTGGCCAGCCTGCTGTGCAGGGACAGAGGCAGGACCTCTGCTCAGTTCATGGCTCTGTGCTGGCCATCCACCTGGGCAGCCCCGTGACTGTCCTCATGGGACATGTTCTGCTCTGCCTGCTTCCTGGGGACTTTGGGCAGAGGTTTAAAACAGAGCTTCAGGCAGACTTGGAAAGCCTGCTCAGCCAGCTGGAGGGAGTAACTGGAAAGCAGTAAGAGGAATGGCTGAGGTCACCTGGCTTGCTCAGCCTGGAGAAGAAGAGATTGTGAGAGGAAACCTCATAGCAATCTGCAGCTTCCTCATGAGAAGGAGCAGAGAGGCAGGAACTGCTCTCTGTGACCAGAGACAGGACCTGAGGGAATGGCCTGGAGATGTATCAGGGGAGGTTTAGGCTGGATATTTGGAAAAGGTTCTTCCCCCAGAGGGTGGTTAGGCTGTGAACAGGCTTCCCAGGGCAGTTATGGCCTCAAGGCTGCCAGAGTGTAACAAATATTTGGACAATGCTCTCAGGCACAGGGTAGGATTGTTGAAGTGTTCTGTGCAGGGCCAGGAACTGGAATCAATGATCCTTGTGAGTCCCTTCCAACTCACGACATTCTGTGATTCTACGAAATTTTCAATCATAGCTTAGCAGAGGCACAACTAGCTCTCAACTGTTCAAACACTGTGTATGCTTCTCCATGATCCAGCTTGGAAAACACCACTTTTGTGGCATGTTTTACATTCCTGTTTTCACAGCAGAGTACCTACTCAATGCTAGAATTTCTGCTGCTAGCCTGAGACTAACTGTCCTGAATAAGCAGTGAGTTATTTGCAAGAACTCATAAGCAGTTTCACAAGAAAATGCAGTAGGAGTATCCTAAAAAAAAATCATGAGGCAATGTGCTGTGGAGCAAAGGCATTCTAATAGGGTACATGTAAGGAACAAAGACTGAAATTTGCTGTGATCCAAATGAAAATATATTTGCTGCTTTTTCAAAAATAATGCCTGGCCTTTACATACTCCAGGTCCCTCTGCCAATGGCTGATACTGGTACCACAGTAAGAACATTTGGCCAAAGTCAGGAGGAGTTAGGGTGCCATTCAGGGCCTGGACATCCAGGCTTTTTTGTTTTCCTAGAAAACAGTGCACTTGTCCAAGCCATGAGCAGACAGTTTCTCTAGAAAGCTGTGGGAAATGGCGTCAAAGGCTTTACTAAAGCCCAGGTAGACACATCCACAGCCTTTCACTGAGCAGATCATCTTGCCACAGAAGCCAGGTTGGTCAAGCAGGACTTGTCTTTCTCAAACCCGTGTTTGCTGGGCCTGATCTCTGGTTGTTCTGCATATGCCACATGACAGCACTCAGGATGGTCTGCACCATCACCTTTCAAGGTACCTGAGACTTTTCCTCATTCTTTGTCTCTAGGTTTCCCCAGCCATCCAACAAAGGAGATTCTCCTTAGTCCTTGTTTTGTGGTTAATGCATTTATATTTATTTATATTTATTTTATTTATTTTTATTTATAGAAACATTTATTTTATTGTCTTTTACAGCAGTGGCCAGATGGGCTTCCACTCTTCTCGTTTCCTCTCTGCATAACCTCATGACATCCTTGTTGGTTCCTGACTTACTGCCCCTTCTTTCAAATGTCATAAACTCTCCTTTTTACTCTGAGTTCCAGACAAAGTTCTTCTCCCTCTGGCATTTCTTTCAGCATATCCTCCTCCTGTGCCCTGAAGATTCCTTCTTACAGCACATCCAGCCTTCCTGGGCTCCTTTGACCTTCAGGACAGCTTCCCAAAGGACTCTGTCAACCAGGCCCTTGAACAGGCCGAAGTTTGCTCTCAGCGAGTCCAAGGTGGCAGTTCTGCTGACTCCCCTCCTAACTGCTCCAAGAATCCAAAACTCTATCCTTTCAAGGTCACTGTGCCCAGGATGGCCTCCCACCATAGTAACATGCACTAGTCCTTCTCACAAACAGCACGTCCAGCAGGTGCCTTCCCCAGCTGCCCCCTCACCAGCTGTGTCAGGAACATCTCTTCCACACACTCTAGGAACCTCCTGAACGCTCTCCTTTCTGCTGGATTGTATTTTCAGCAGATGTCTAGTGCGTTGAAGCCCCCATGAAGACAAGGGCTGGCCATCACGAGACTTCTTGTCTGCCTCTCGGTCCTTTGTTGGGTGATCTGTACCCAGCTCCCACCTGGATAACTGCCTTGTTGGCCTTCCTCACAATTCATATCCGCCAGACTTGACACTTGCATCACCACTGTGAAGCACTAGACAGTCAAAACACTCCCTCATATACAGGACTACCCCACCACCTTTCATTCCTTGCCTGTCCCTTCTGAAGAGTTCACCATCATCCATTGCACTATTCAGTGGTGCCAGTCATCCCACCATGTCTTTGTGATGGTAACTATGCCATAGTTTTCCTCCTCCAGGATCTCCTGTTCACTGCCCACGCTGCAGGCACTGGGGCAGATGCACTTTAGTTGGGTTATCAATCCCAATGCCTTTTTGGGGAGAGAAGCTCCAATTCCTGAGTGACCATTCTCATGGTTTCTAGCACATCAATAACACTTGCACTCTTGCTGCTTCATGGATCTTCATTTCCTATGTCTACTGAAATGGTAGCCTGGACAACCTCACTAACACACCTTCCTTAGAACAGTGTCAAGCTGCTCCCAGGCTTATCTCAAGTGACCTGGTTTTTTTATCCCCTTCCCCCTTCAAATCCAATTTAAAGCTCACTCAACATGCCCCACTAACTCCTGCACAAAGATCCTTTTCCCTCTGAGACAGGTATACCCAGTCTGTCACTAGTAGGCTTGTTGTCATCTAAACCATCCCATCATCAAAACCCCCAAAATTCTGTTGGTGACACCTGGCTTAAAGCCAGGGATTTGTCTATACAACTTTCCTGTTTCTACCCTGAGCAGTGGACCCCCCAGACTAACCTCTCCCAGTTTTACTGCTGACCATGACAAGCTGTGGTTGGGAATATGCCTGGAGTCAGCTGGGGTCTAATGTCCTGGCCATGTCTCTTCCAACTCCTTTCACACCCCCACCCTACTCACTGGTGGGGCAGCATGAGGAGTACCAAGGGCCTTGATGCTCAGCATTGACTGAAACATTCCTGGTTTATCAATGCTCCCTCCAGCAAAATTCCAAACCCCATCCCCAGGGAAGAAATGGAACTTCTCCTCTGCCCAACACAGTACATTCTCCATCCCTTATTCTATGCCATGTACATCCTGCTCAGGATCCTGTGGTATCCAATACCCACCAGCCCCTTCCCACCCTAGCTGTCATGCATAGATATTATTCCTTTACTCAATGGACCACTCCTATGAAATATCCATAAAATGTCCACAAGTGTTCACAAAATCATAGAATCACAGAAAGGTTTGGATTGGGAGGGACCTTAAAGCTCATCTTGTTCCAACCCCCTGCCATGAGCAGGGACACTTTCCACTGGAATAGATTGGTCTCCAGGCCGCATCCAACATTGAGCTTTCCCAGGGATGGGACATATACCTGCTCTAGTTTGGCCTTCTGCATGGCCACAGTGCCTCCAGGGGTGTACCTGCTCTATTGGGGGTATATGCATGGCCACACACTTTGAAGTGTTCCAGCATGACCTCCAGCACAGATGCTTCAAGGTGTATCTTCTCCAGCGTGGTCTTATCCTTGGGCCACACTCCCTTCAGAGGTGCTCCTGCTGCATCATGGACACACCCACAGTCACCGATGCTTTGAGGTGTCCTACTCCCACATGGACACATCCACAGGTCACAGTAAGCAGAACCAGCCCCTAACGAGAACCAGACTCATTTACAGTAAGGCAAGCACAAAGCCCTGTGGTTTTACTTTCCCTTCCTCCTTGGCCTCCAGGACTGCCCTGGCCAGGCTTTCCTCACACCAGAGCTTGATCCTCATCCCAGGTGCCCCAAGGGGACAGTCTCTCCTTCTCACCAGAGTTCCCCCAGCTGGATTCCTGCCCTCAGCCAGGGATAGTGCTGCTTGCATTTCCCCCACCACAGCAATCCTTCGTGTGCCATCCCAGCGAGCCCCAGGACTCCTCCTCCTTGGTATCCCCAGCACCTCCAACTCTCATCCCCCTGACCCCTCATCACCCATGGATATCCCCCCACATCTGACTGTTGTCCATCTCTCTGCTGGCTGATGGTGCCCCTTGTCTGGGGAGGACCCTGCTCCTGATGGACATGAACCCTGCCGGTATGTGGGGGTGATGGGTGAGCATGGCCAAGTCGCTGCTGCCAGCATGGGAGGAGACAGAGGTGGCTTAACCACATGAGTGATAAAGTCTTGGGAGTTCAGTTTGGCTTGGAAGTGAGGCTGGGGACCTATCTGGAGGCTGCCATCCCAGTGCCATGAGCACTGGCCCCATGGTGCCCCTGCTTTGTCTGTGAACCTCCAAGTGTGCTGTGCTGACCTGGGTCCCCAGGGAGAGGTATTGCTGCTGACCTGAGCCACAGCCTACACTGTCCTCAGCAGCACCATGGGGATTGGGGCAAGCACTGCATCCCAGGTCAGGAGCACCCTGCACCCACGCACCCAGAGGTTCAGGACATGCTGCTGGCTGGGATCCCAGTGGGATTGCTCCTAGTGGGTGACAGAGCAGGGCAGGTCTCAGCTGGTGCCAGCATGAGTGTCTGGGTCAGTGCTGGGACATGTGTCGAGGAGAGGATCTGCCCTGTGATGCAGCTGAGGTGCTTTCCCCCAGCCTGCCCTGTGTCTCTCAGCAGCTGCCCCCAGGCCCCACTACCTTCCCTGACATGACCTTGCTCCTACTGCCACACCTCCCCAGCCACTTGCAGAGGAAAACCGGTTGCTTCCCTGTCCACAGCACCACAGCATCTGGGGTCTTGCCTCAGGGTGGCTCTGCCCACCATGGAGCATCTGCTGGCCAGGACCCTGGTCACTGGCAGCCCCCCACACCAGCAAGACCTTCACCTTATCAAGGAGATGGTGTTGGACATGGCCCCCACCTTCTTAGCTGCTACTGTGTCCATGGGAGCATCCCAGTGCCACCAACCCATCCATGTTGGCTGCTCCACCTCCCTCTGGAAAACGGGCACCCTGCCCTTCAACTGGGATGTCATCTTCATGATGGACACCTGCTACAGTGTCCCTACCAAGGACTTGTTCCATGAGGACAAGGAGGTCCTCACCCTGCTTTTCTAGATGTTTGAGGTTGCTGACATCGCCCTCTTGCAGCTGTTTCCAACTGTGCTCAGCACCTACAACTGAGATTTTGTGAGAGGTGATGTCCCCACAGGACTTCTGGGCCATGGGGACATATGGCAGGGAATGGTCCTGTCCCACCAGCTCTGCCAGGACAGGGAGGTCTTGATCTTGGTCGTGGGGGTGGCATGCCACGGGCACACGGCCTTGGGCATCTCCAAGCTGCTCTGACCTGTGGTTTGCAGTGGGGTCTGTGGGCAGCAAAGTGTGACACAGCGTGGCACAGCGAGATGGCACCCAGCCCTGCCATGCTGTGCAGAGAGGAGTGTGCTGCTGCCATCGCACTGCAGCAAGGAGAAGGGGTTGGGGATGGAGCCACCAGCATCACAGGGACAGCAGGATGGGAGGGGGGACATGGAGATACCCACATAGGGTCCTGCATGGCAGGTATCTGTGCCCACCTCAGCCTGGCCATAGTGCCACTGCCCCAGGACATTGGCTGAGCCTGGCAGAGGCCTTTGCTGAGTGGCAGCTGTGGTGTCAGGAGGCAGCTGTGTGTGGGGTCTGTGAGAGGCTCTCCCCAGGAATGGAGGCTGGAATTAACTGGGCTAGGGGATATAGCAGGGCTGCCTTGGGCTGGTCCCTGCCCAGGTGGCTGCTCCACTGCCTGCCTTCCCCTAGCTCTTAAGAGTCACTGTGAGACTAGGGTGTCCCCAGCGGGTTCCTGTGGCTCCCTGAGCTGAGGGCAGCTCATGGGGGCTGCATCTGGAGGCTTCTCCATCTCCCACATTCGGAGCATCCTGAAGTGTGATGCCCATAGCCCAGGGGTTGCTCAAGGGGTTCAGAATCTGTTCCCAGCCTGTCCCACAAGCCAGGGTGGTCACAGCCCCCACAAGTACCTGAGGGAAGAAGAAGGGGGCTGGCACCCAAGAGCAGGGATCCTGCCAGCACAGGATGGTTATGGGGACTGTCCCATGGAGCAGCAGATTGGACTCAGCAATACCATGCTAAGGAACAGCTCCAACCCCCCCAGGCACAGAGAGGGATGTGATGGGAGCATCTTCTAGGGTGCCTGCACCCCAGGGCTTCTCCACACACCCTCTCCTCCAGGGCAGGGCACAGCTGCTGTTCTGGGCAGAACAGGGACTGACCGTGGCTCTCTAGCCCTTTGCCAGGCAGGAAGGGGGTCAGGAATGGATCCTGCCCTTCACGGGCACTAAGGCTACCTCCTCTCCCTCCCTCCTCATCCCACAGGTGCCCTCTACACCCCTGGACAGCACCATCTCCAGGATGCAGGCGACACTGGGCAGCCTTGCTGTACTTTAATGAACTCTGGGGTCCCAGAGCCAGCTATGGGCAGGGCTGGTTCCAGCCCAGGCAGCGGGCCTGACTTGGCTTGGGGCACCAGTAGCCCCACTCAGAGTGGGGCCAGCACACGTGGGGCTATGCAGTCCCCAAAGCAGGTTACAGAGACGGGCCTCCCTGGAGGTGTCACATGTGTATGCAGTGGTGTGGGGCTGTCAGAGCAGGGAGCTGCACTGCAGGGAGCTCACTCAGCAGCCAGCACGGGAGCTGCTCTCCCATCTCAGCCCAGGCCCCCACTCTTCCCAGCGCCTGGGGCCAGTGCTGGGGATGGCCATCGCACCTCCCTGATGTCGACACCGAGAGGACTGAGCACCACGCAGGTGAAGTTGGTGTGCAGATGCTGGCTGTCAAAGGAGCTGAAGTACAGATCACGGTGCAGGGCCCACCCCGAGCCCCGCAGCTCCTCTCTGCGAACCCAGCAGGGACCAGTCAGTGCCACTCCAGACAGGCAGACTCAGGAGCTCTGCCCCAAGCGGGGCTGCCCCACTGTCATTGCCCCCCAGGCCCCCTGTCCCATACTCACTGCACTGTCCCCTCACGCACAGCCCCGTCGGGGTGCAGGCTCTCCACGAAGGAGCCGTTCTCCAGCCAGTAGAGCAGCGTCAGCTCTGGAAGCCCACTCCACGCCTCGCACGATACAGTCACGTTCTCGCCTGCAGCCGGACGGGGCGTGAAGGTCAAGGAGGGCTGCAAGGGTCCCCAGTGCCCCCAGGCACAGCCCCCCCTCAGCTAAGGGGAACATTCCCCCACCTCATCAGCACCCCGAAGTCTTGGCTGTGGGTGGAGGATTCACCTTGTGTCTGCTGGCGGCTGGCACAGGAGCTGACCCCCACTGCAGCCTACTCACCCTTAGGCCCTGCCATGGCCCCAGGGTCTCTCACCTGGGCGAGGGAGCTCTGCTGGCACCCGCAGGACGGTGATGCTGGGCGACTGCAAGGCCATGGCACCTAGAGGACCAGAGTGGGGTGAGGTGGGAGGTCAAGAGTGACACCAAGACCCCACGTTTTTATAGTGGGTGAGAAGGCAGGTTCCCATAAAGGGACAGGGGCACTGCTCATCCCAAGACCCTGAACAGGCCTCTTGAGGGTCATAGAGCCCAGGGTTGATCTTGGGCTCCCTGACCTCCCAGTAGCCCCCACTAACCTGTGCAGCAAGCGGCCAGACCCCAGCAGAGCAAGAGAATCCAGGCAGGGCGTCCCAGGGGCTCTGCAGACAAAACTGGAGCTCAGTGCTGGACACACGGGGATGCTCCCCATGAGCTTGGGGTGGTTCCCCCAGCATTCCCTGAGCCTGGGATGGTCCCGTCCTCTCAGCATCCTCCCAGCTGGCCATGGTACCCCCAAGCATGCTCCCCCCAGGACTCCCTAGGTCGACGATCCCGTACCCTCGTATCTACACAGCACCCCCCGAAGCTGGGATAGTCTCGTACCCGCCAGCATCCTCCTCCCGGGGTCCCTCCAGTCGCGGCTGGTGTCCCCCAATGCTGTCCGCGCACCGCTCCGGTACATACGGAGAGCAGAGCCCGTGGCTCAGATACGGGCGGCGCTCGGTACCGCGGCGCTTTATGAGCACTAGGGAGGAGCGAGAGGCAGCGCCGTGACTCACCGGGAGCCGCCCTCGGCCCCAGCTCCGGCTCCGTGCCGCGGGGACCCTCACCTGGACGCTGATGTGTGTCGCTGGGTCCTGTGCCGACGTGTCCCCGAGCCCCCTGAACATGCCGAGTGTCCTCAGCACTCCACGCCCTCTGTTCTCTGTGTCGCCTGTACCTGGGGATACATATCCCTCAGGCACTCCCATGATCGGCATCCCATGACCCTCCCGCCCCACATCTCCCCCCCGCTCCTGGGGAAGCATCCATGGGCTCCGCAGGGATGGAGGAGTGGAGCCCAGCGGGGTCCACAGTGTCCGGCACATGGGGCTCTGGCTGAGTGTCACAGGATTCTGAACATGCTGGTTTGCTCCCCAATGCTTTGGGATCAGGGACAAGGCAGGGTCTTCACAGAAGGAAGGTGGGTGGAAACTGAATAGGACAGTGGCTGGGGGAGCCTGGGTGCTGGCTCCTGGGTGTCCCAGCTGGTGCAGGACAACAACTTAGCAGATTGAAACCCCCAGAGCTTTAATTCTTGGCCATGGGAAGCCATCTCCTTTGTCCCATCCCCAGAGCCAGCTCTTTGACACCAGACATGTTTCGACAACCCACTGGTTACAAAAGCAGGGTCCAGGCTCCACACCTCACTCCCCAGCAGCGCCAAGGCTGGGAGCAGCCACCTGAGTCACAGGCCCCGACAAGGCTTGGAAAAAAGTCCCTAAACTCCCAGTGAGTTTTGTTTTCCGTTCCCAGCAGAGCAGGAAAGTGGTGGGAACAGGAGTGTTATCTTGGAGACCTGGTAAGTGCAATACATTCCCAGCCTCCCACTGGGATGAGGCCAGTGGCTGCATCCTCCCCACCATGGGTCTCCAATGGGCAGTGACGAGCCAGAGGCAGCTCCCATGGCAGCACACAGCTCTTCTGCCACCTTCCTTCTCCCACCAACACCAACCAGCTTAGCTTTGGGTGCTACAGGGTGAAAGAAGGAATGCAGATGAGTGCTTGGTCATCATCCACGCAATACCCTTCCCCGGGGAGAGATGAAAGGAGGAACCATGAACCATGGCCCTACCCTGCAGCAGGGAAGACGATCAAGAAAAACCCAGGGCCATGTCTCCGTTTCCAGGGCTCTTATTTCGGTGTTTGGCACAACACTGCAATGTGGTTTCACCCAAAAGAAAACTCAGAGGATGCAGCATGGCGCTGGGGTTTCCCAGGGGGGAACACAGCCCACACAGCACCCACAGCCATGCCACCACTGTGGCCACTTCCCAAATCCCCTGAGCCAGGAGCTGCCTTGTAGCCCTCCACTGGACCCCAGCATCCTCAGGGAATAGGACTCAAGTCTCCACATGCCAAAATACCACCGCTGGCCCTGGGGACTTTGCCCCCACCTGCTACCAGAAATTAAGCCCAAGACCACTCACACCAGCAGGACTTTGGCATGGGTCCTACTAGTATGGCCAGGAGGATGTCATGGAGTAATGCTGGGGCAGGGAAACGCCAGCACCAGCCCAATCTTCACTCCATCCCTTTTATTCCAAGAGCAATACCCAGTGAGGGCGGACCCGCGCCCTGGGGCAGGGGCACCCGCTCTTGGCTGCTCTTGACGTACCATTACTGTCACCAAAAGGGCACAGAGAGGAACAGCACCAGCCCCACTCCATGCCTTGGCTCACCCCCCCCCGAGCAGTCAGGGGACACCGCTGGTCTTCAGGGAGGAACACAGAAAATTTGGGAGCATAAAAAAGGGTTCCCCAAGGCAGAGCCCACCATCACTGTGCTGGAGAGCAGCTTGGTTCCTGCTGGCATACCCATGGTGCCCAGAGCAGACCTGGCAGCCAGGAGTAGCCAGGTGACCTTCCATCCCCTCTTTCAGGGTGCTGGGCTCCAGCCTCTCCTCCGCAGCCCTCACATCCCATCCTCGCTGCCAGCAAGGCTGCTCCAGGGTGCTGGCATTGGAGTTTGCAAAGCCTTCTCCCCACGGCCTCCTGTGACAGAGTGGCAGGAGGGAGCTGGAAAACAGCCCCCAGCCCAAAGCTCAGCCCAGCAGGGCACTGCAAAGGGCCAGAGAGGGGCAGGGAAAGGGGACAAGTGTCACTTTTTGGCTGCAATATTAAGTTTTAAATATGGTCATTAAAATAATTGCTTTTTAAAAAAATCCTCCCCTAGCCCTGGCAGGAGGGGCCCCGATGTTGCTGTCCTTGGGGGTGGCCAAGGTCCTGAGAGGTGACGGAGCAAAGCCAGCATCGCCGGTGGCAATGTCCTCTCGTGGTTCCGCAGCTCCCCACCGCCTGCCCTTACTCCAGCCCGAGGATGTAGTTGATTCCCTGGACCAGTCCAATGATCACTGGCTGCCAGGCCACCAAGTAGCGCAGCCAGTCCAGCAGCTGCCCGTACATGACATGTGGCCTCTCCCAGCTGGGCAGGAAGGAGTTAAAGAGCTGTGGGGAAATGGATGAGAGGAGCATGGCCCACCCAGAAGCCACCCAAAGGTGCCCCAAAGCAGGGACAGAGAAGAGAGGTGCCCAGGGAGGGATGGACAAGCATCCAGTGAAGGACAGACATGGGTCCTCATGGAGAGACAGCTGTGGCCAGGCTTGCCCGGCGTTTTGAAGGGTCTTTGCCACAGCCACACGCTGCAGCGACCTACTCAGGGTGCCAGGCAAGCCTCTTGCCCCTTGTGTGCTCTACCCATTGCTTCTCTTCCCAAAGTGCTGGCTCCCAGCAGGAGAAAGGATACGGATTACTGAACATCCTCTTGAGATCCACCTTCTCTTTGCAGTATGGACACGTCTGCTTCTTCCCGACAATGCACCAGCCCCGGATGCAGAACTCGTGAAACCTGAGGAGTGGCATGTTAAGGGGAACTGGAAGAAGAGGGGGGTACACAGCTCAGTGTGGAGGAAACCACCAAGCCCAAGGAAGTCCCCGAGAGTCATGTGAGGATGGGACACTACACAACCACAACCCTTTCCTAGAAGGTGCAGCAGCTTCCAGGGACAGTGGAAGGAGCTCATGAGGCAGCAGGAGGGAGCCAGGATGGCAGCACGAAGGCCCTGATCAATTCATGGGCACCAAGGAGATTGAAACTCTTCAGTGATGGTGCCCAAGCACTGGGAAGGTTTGGACAGCCTGGGAGAGCTCTGCGAACTGCATGCATTTTGGAAGCCTTCTTCAAAGGCTTCCTGGAGATGAACATTTAAGCAATTGCTCTGTAAGTAAGGGTGTGACTTACTGATGCCTGCTATGCTCTGTCACAAAGATTTACACAACCTAAGCACAGCCTGGAGAAGTTACAGAAAAACATGAGGTGGCTGCAGCTGACTCTGCCACGTACAGGGGTGTCACTGAGCAAATAATCTTTCCCCAGAGTATCACTGCTGCTAAAACCATGGAAGAATGCCAGGGAGCAGCAGGAGTCACTTCCTTGTCAGCCCTGGAGCCATCGATGCAGGAGTGCCCAGGCAGCCATCACCCCTGAGGACTACCAGGAGCACCAACCAGCTCCTCTGGCAGCCACACCACCCAAAGCTGCTGTAGTCCCGGGCCCTTGCACAGTATCAGCAATAAATCTCACCAACAGTTCCCAAGAGTTAAATTTAGACTCTGAGTTTTGCCAGCATGACCTTTGCTCAGGCCCAGTTTGGAAATTACCTCGCAGGCAGTTAACACACACACTGCCAGAGGACATCCCATCTCCACACTGAATCACCACGGGGAAAAAACCCTGACTCGCTGCCCCAGCTGGGGTTGAGCACCAACCAGAGCTTCCAGTTTCAAAACCCACTTCCCATCAATCAGCTGACAGGAAGGGCTGAGTGACTCCAGCATGCTGGAAACCCTGGAGGTGTTCTGGAGAAGTAGGAAGCTGCTGGGCTGTGACCAGAGCAGGTAGCAACCAGCTATGCTGGAGCAGGGGGCTGTTTTCGTAGGGGGGCCAGCACTGTTTCCCCACAATTCTTCTTTATGGACACTCAGGACCCACTGCAATGCATCTCTGATGAGAGGCCAGTGGGGCATGGAGCAGGGATGCTTCATGTCCTGACCTCACACCATCACTTCCCCCAGCAACATCTGCCAGGGCCACTGCCAGGCAGATGGATCACAGCAGATTTGTCAAAAGCAGGTAAAAACTGAGGTTCAGCTCCATGGCTCAGCTGATGTAGCTGGGGAGGAGAAGGAAGAAGAAACAACCACTCGTGAGTACTGATGAAGTAATTTCAGGGATACCTCTTCCCATGCCAAGTCAGTGATGACACAGGCACAGATCACATGCAAATTCAGCTGGACAGCCCCGAGTCCCAGAACAGGCATTTCTTCATGCAGTGCAGGAGAAGCCATGGGGCAGGAGCTCCCTGCTGCCCACCCCAGCGTGGGGCCAGTGAGGCAGGGGGCTGGCACCTGCAGAGAAGGATACACGTGGTTGCAGGAGAGTCGGTAGGTGTTCTCAATGATCCCTTCCTCATTGACATCCACGAAGATCTGCTGGCCACAGACGGCACAGACGCTGTCGGAGAGGTGCTTGGTGGGCATCCCTGAGGCGCTGTAGAACTGAGCGAGGGCAGAGCAGAGGGAGAGCGGTGACAGTGGCAGGGCACGTGTCCCACACCCGTGGTGGCACAGCTAAGCTCTAAGGAGGGCTGGGGTCAGCGCCCCGGGAGTCCAGCCTTGGCCTTTGGGGCTTAAAAACCTTGTTACGGGTCCGGCTGCGGGAAACAACTACAACAGGACAGCTGCTCAGTGATGCAGTGGCCTGTCACACCCCAGCCCCATGCACCCCCTCCCCATGTTGAGGGGCCACCCCTCTTGGCTCCCCAA